ATTTTCTCTATGTTTGAGAAACCAAAGTAGTTAAGCACAAGCATTTTGTTTAATTGACATGTAATAATAAAAAAGTGTGATTGGATCCCATGACTAAGGAGTGTACGTTAATGTATTTCTTGTGCACATGACTGGTTTGTTATTCCGTAAGAGTAAAAAAAAAAAAAAAACCAAAAAAAAACCAAGCCTCTGCCTAAATTGCCACAGTCAGATCTCTCTAGACTGCATGGTTAATTGACATTAGAAACTTTCCACCACCACCAATGTCATTTCTACAAGGTATTGTAAAATTGCTGGCATGTGTTTGTTGTGAAACACTTATTTATGAAAGTAAACAAACAGATTTCCTGCAGGTTTCCAAGTGTTTTTTCCTCCCCCTAGTGGGACTGTAGTCTATTAAATCTTTGCATAGGATTCTCAGATGCCCTCATAATCAAATTCAATCATTCATTAAAAAAAAAATGATGTCAGATGTCCTACACTTCCTTCACTTTCGGTTGATTTAACAAATTCGTTGCTTTAGTGGTAACAAATCATTTTAAAAATGCAAAGACAAATACACATTAAATTCAAAGCTAGATGAAGCAGCTCCCATCCATTATACTATATTTGTTCTCTTTGGCTACAGATAACTGATAGGATTGTCCTGGTTCTTTTTTAATTTCTGGCTGCTAATTTAGTGGCTTCTCTTAACTCCTTCAATCTGCAGGATTTCCCTGAGCAACCTCATTCACAATCATGATCTGAACAGCTGCCTATGTGTTTTTGATTCCCAAATCTATGTCTCTAGGTCAAGGTTCTCTCGGAGAGCCACAGACCTATGTCCACAACACTCACTTAGATATCCCATAGTTACTTCCAACTCAAATGGTCTCTGCTCTTGAACAGATATGTCTGTTCCTACGTTGCCCATCCTGATTAATGATGCTAGTCGCCTCCCTACCTAGAAACCTGAGAGTCATCTTAAACGATCGCCATCCTTTCACTCCTCATGTCATTAAGTTCGACTTCTTTATCTGATAACAAAAAATTCTGAAAAATATTGCTGCATTGTTTACTAATAGGCACTTTCCTGATAAGGCCATAAGGGTTCCCCTTCATTTGCTTAGCTCACTTTTTCTACTGTGTTGTAGACTTTTTGCTATTGTTGGAAGGACTTCTTTAAATATCGTTTATAACATTTGCTGATCATAGGCTCTCCAAATATCTCTGCCAGTTTATGGTTTATCTTTCTTTTTTGCTTTTCTAAAAATGATATTGGTCTAGATAAGTTTTTAATATTAATATAGTCAAATATGTTAACATTTTTCTTGATAGCTTGTTTTATGTGCTTTAAGAAATCTGAACTCTGAAGTCAATTTCAGATGTTCTTCTACTTACAATGGTGTTACATCCTGATAAACGCATTATAGATTGTGAGTCAGAAATGCATTTAATATTCCTAACCTACCAAATATCATAGCTTAGCCTAGCCTACCTTAAACATGTTCAGATCATGCACATTAGCCTACAGTTGCGCAACATCATCTAACAGAAAGCCTACTTGATAATAAAATGTTGACTATCTCATATCATTTACTGAATACTGAAAGTAAAAAATAGAATGATTGTATGGGTATTTGAACTATGGTTTCTATTAAATGCATATGGCTTTTGCACCATCGTAAAGTTAAAAAATTAAATTCCCCTTATAAGTTGGGAACTGTCTGTATATTTTTTATTTCTTCCAATGTTTTTAAGTTTTGCTTTTTGCATTTAGGGCTTCATCAATCAGGAGAAAATTCTTGCGTGTGTTGTAGTTACAGATTTAATTGAGCTTTATTCTTTTAATATGATAGCAGGTTGTCTTAGCATTACTTACTGAATAAGCTGTCTTTTCCCCATTGGCTTATAATGGCACCTTAGTCATACACGAAGTTCCCATGTGTTTTAGGGAAGTTGTTGGCCCAAGTTTGGAGGAAAATCCAATTGCAGACTGAATTGTGATCCCACTCCCCTCCTCCCAATTCATGTGTTGAAGTCCCAACCCCAGCGTGACTGTACTTGGAGATAAGGCCTTTATAGAAGTAATTAGCAATGGCTTCTTGGCCTTTTGGCTAAGATGTAGGATACTGCAGAGGTAATAAATGTTAAGGGAGTTAAGTGTGGGACCCTAATCCAGTAGGACTGGGTGTTCGTATGAGGAGAGAAAGAGACCCCAGAGCTCCCTCTCTTTTCACCATGTGAAGACAGCTACCTACAAGCGGGGAAGAGAGGCTTCCTCAGAAACCACATCTGCTGGCACCTTAACCTTGGACTTCCAGCCTCCGGACAGGTAAGAATATAAACACCTGTTGTTTAAGGTAGCTGGTCTGTGTTATTTTGTTACGACAGACTAATACAAATACCTTCTCCTTGCCAGGTCTTAGATGATATAATAAGCTCCTTTACTTTTGTCATTGTCAGTGAGTAGACAAGAGAAGGTATTAGTTCAGAAGGGTTTTCCATAAATTCCTTTTGTTTCCTACTCAAGACAACATTAAGTTGTTATCGTGTATTATTCGTACTGATTTCTTAGTCTTCTGGCGATAATCTCCCTTCTTCAGAAGGGTATTGGAACTGGTAGCAATGGGGAGTGGGGAGGGTGATGCAAAGAAGCGCTTGGGGTCAAGTCAGATACAATCTGGACACTGCTCCTCCGCCTCCTGGTGACTGTCACTTTCTTTTATATTCAGGCTGGCTGACAGTTCAGATACAATGAGAAGCATATCTCATTTAAGATACTGAAGGGCAGAGTTTCTAATAAAAACATTAGAAAACATTGACAAGCGTGCAAAAAATGCTCATGACAATGTGCAATATAAAACGGCATGCAGTGTTTCATGCTGTATTCCCGCCTTCTCATGGAACTTTTAGATACGATCTCTTGGGATGAGAATGACCTCTTAGGAGAAGTCTTCAGGGTAGCCAGCTGTCCTTATGATAGCTTATTAAATTTCCTATATTCCAAGGTGAAAGAAATATTGTTTATGGCAAATGACCTGTAGGGGAGGGTTTGTCTGTAGATTCCCTGGTCTGATGGTCTCTTTCCATTCTGTTTTATTGGGCTCCCAATACCAAAACTGTACATTTAAATTACTATAGTTTTATAATAAAAAGTGATGTTTGGTTGAGCGAATCTCTGTACTCCGTTCAAAAATATGTTGGCTCTTTACTGTTCCATATAAACTTATAGGATCAACTGTCAGATTCTGCAAAGAAACTGCTTGAGATTTTGATTAGAAATGCTTAGGTGTTTATAATATTAAGATGTCTTATCTATAAATTTAAAACATCAATTAATCCAGGTCTTTAAAGAATCCTTCCAAAAATTTATATGGTTTTATTATAAAGGTCTTGAACTTGAGTCTTTTAACATATTTACTTTTAGATATATTATAGTTCTGTGGCTATTGCAAATGGGATAATTGAAAAATGTTTTCCAATTGTTAATAATAAATATGTTTATTATTGGAATGTTGTTGATTTCTCTAAGTTGATCTTGTATTCAGCACCTTACTGAACTTATTAGAAGTGGTTTGGAGTTTCTGCAGGACTTTAATGAAGACTGTAATGTTATCTGCAAAAGTAACATTTGTTTTTTTCCTGTTTCAATCCTTAAAATTATTACTTATTTTTCTTACTGAACAAACTATAACCACTAGTACATATTGAATGGAAGCAGCCATGGCAGATATTTTTGTCTTCCATTAACATGAAGGGAATGCTTCTGTATTTAACAGTAAGTGTGATGTTTGCTTATGTTTCCGGTAGATGTCTTATATCAATGTACTCCTAGTTTTCTATGAGTTGTTTTTTTTTTTGAAAAGTCTGAAAGAGTTTATTTATGAACTATGAATGAATTTTATAAAACTCTGCATCCATTAAGATTCTTAAGCTTCCCCTTTAGTTTTTTAAATGTAAATTACAGTACTTTTTTCTCTAATGTTAAACTGTTCCTTCAGTCTTAAGACAAACAGTAATTGGTTATATATATATTTACATATATATATTTGTATATTGCATATATATATATATATATGCAATTTTACATGTTTCTGGATTTGATTTGCTAATATTATTTAGAATTTTTATACCTCAGTTTGTAAATAGAATTGATGTATTTTGATTGTTTTCATACATCCTCTTTTCTGACGTAGTATGGTTATGGTAGCTTCATAACATAAGGAAGAGAGCTTTCCCTTGTTTTCTACTCATGAAAACATTTGTCGATTTGGGTCATCTCTTTCTTGAGTGTTTGATTACTTACCAAACTGGCTCAGCCTGGTATTATGTGTGTGTGTGTATGTGTATCATTAAAGTAGTTTTTCTTTTTTAAAATTCGATTTCTTTTCTGGTTACCTGTCTATTGAGGTTTTCTGTTTATTGAATTGAATTAGCAATCCATATTTCTTCAAAAAATTGTTGATTTCTTTCGTATTTTCAAATTTATTTGCCAAAAGTTATTTAGAGTAGTTTTAGAACTTTTAACAACTCCTGCCTAATGTAGCTTTCTTCATTTCCAATATTGTTTGCATCTGCTTTTCTGTTTTTTGTTCATTATTGCCAGATATTTGTTTTTATTAATGTTTTCTAAAGCAACACATTTTTTGATCCTCTGTACTATTTATTTTTTCTGTTTCCTCATTGCTCTTTTCTAATCACAAATATTTCCTTTCTTCTACTTTCTGTGTGTTTTCTATAATTCCTTAAGTTGAATGCCTTGCTAGTTACATTTTGGCTTTATTCATTTTAACATGATTTTGAGGCTATGCATTTACTGGTATGTATCACATTAGCTATAACCTCAAATTTTGATGTAAATTTTTTTTATCTGGTCATCCGGCTTTAAATGGATTTTGTAATTTTCTGTTTGTTTGTTGACTCGTGGGGACATGTGTGCTGTTAGTGCTCTACCCAGACCCCGTTTCACCTGGCTGGTGCACCCACCTGTCACATGCTGTGGGTGTTCTTTAACTTTAGCACAGTCACTGTAACTGTGACAAGTCCTTGTGTTGACAAGTGGCACGCAGCTGTCCAAGATGGCCACAACCACACCTAGGGATGCTTTTTCTCCACTCTCGAGTGAGTGTTCACTTGCTTCAGAGAATCGCCTGCAGTCAAACAGAAGCTGCCTTGGCCAGGAGGCTTCCTTCTTGCATTAATAGCTTGTAGTCAGCAACAGATTGGCCTAAAAGGAAAAATGTTATCCCTTTGCCTCAAGGTGGGACTAACTGGTGCAGTGTGTGACCAGAGTTCCGCACTCTGCATCCGTTTGCTCCAGGGTGGGATCAGGCTGCGTCTTGCAATCGTTTTCATCCGCATCTTGGGCCACATCTTGCTTTATTTTCCCCTCTACCCTGTCCTGCTTCTTCTCTGCTTTTATGAACCATCCCTCAATAAATCGTAGAAGAACCCCCATCTCAGGTTTCGCATCTAGGGGACCCAACCTAAGACAGGGGTATCAGAATAGCTCAAGCTTTGGAAATAGATTTTCAGGATGCAATTCGGGGAATGGATAACTTGGTGGCCTGACAGCAATGGATGTCTCATCACTGGAGGTAAACGGAGTTTTGAAAGTCTCTGGCAGGTTGTAGCAGTGTGATTGCTAAGATTTTCATCTGTGGCAAACTGGGACAGTTTATAGGTAGAAAAGGGTGCACTAGCTAGTGCAATGCCTGTGGAGTTTGGAGTGTAAACTGAAAAGGGACGGAGGAAGAGCTCTGTCGATTAGAGGTTTATTTTGCTAAGGTTGAGGACGTGCCTGGAAATAGAAACAAAAGTTACTGTAGGATCTGTGACCAGTGCTTTTTCCATAAAGGATTTTGGAAATTTCAGTATTTAAGGGGAAAGAGCAAGCAAGGGGGAAAAAAAGGGAGGGTAAGCATTAAGATTACAGTCTTATGAGCCTTTGAGTAGCACTCAGTGAATCAACATTTTATGTGCAATTAAAAAGGGAGTAGGGGAAAAAGTCAATTAGGCATTGGTTTTACAGTAAACCTATATTTTACATTATATAAGATAAAGTAAGCATGTGAAATTACAGCTGTCTGTTTGGGAACAAAAGGAAAGCGGGTTTGTTTGTTTGTTTGTTTGTTTTGGTGTGACTCAAGCTTAACTTTCCCTTTGGCATAGTGAATTTGGGGTCCTGAGATTTATTTTTCTTTCACAGGAGGTATGTGGAGAAATAGTAACTGTAAGGCAGATTATGGAATTACATTGCTTTCACTAAGCGCACTTTAAGAATTGAAAAAGAAATGACAGGCACAGATACATACTAATCAACAATTCAATGCCAAGTGTGAAATTCAGAGGACTTCATTGGTAACACTTAAAAGAATACTTCTCCAGGCTGGGCGCGGTGGCTGACGCCTGTAATCCCAGCACTTTGGGAGGCCGAGGTGGGTGGATCACGAGGTCAGGAGCTCTAGACCAGCCTGGCCAGTCAACATGGTGAAACCCCATCTCTACTAAAAATACAAAAATTAGCTAGGCATGGTGGCAGGTGCCTGTAATCCCAGCTACTCAGGAGGCTGAGGCAGGAGCATTCCCTGAACCCGAGAGGCGGAGATTGTAGTGAGCTGAGATTGTGCCATTGCACTCCAGCCTGGGCAACAGAGTGAGACTCCATCGTGCAAACAAACAAACAAAAAGCATATTCAAAACCACATAGAGCTGAAGATTGGAACTAGGAATTCTCAGCCTAGGTAAGTCTAGATAAGTTGCCTAGGTCAGTTTCAAGTCCTTTATGGGGAAGGATTAGAACCCCAGGACTTGGTGTGGGACAGTCAGGGTGGTTGCATTTGAGAACTTGGAACCTCCTCCCCTTTCCTCTAAACGTTTTGTATATGTGGAAATGACCCACTCTCCTTTGTTGGAAGGTAGAGACCCCTCATTACCTGAAGTCTACGTGGAGGCTTCAAATGGGAGCAGAGCCCACTTACTAGACAATGCTTACTCTCCTGCAAGAAGCAGGGTGGCATGCCTAAAGCTAGTTCTGAGGGTGTTGGATCAACTGGGGAAGAATATGTAACTGGATAAGGAAGAGTTTGTAAATTTGGGGCCGTGCCCTGGTGACATAAGACAACCTCCCAGCAAGGGTCCTGGAAGACAGATCTCAGGTGCTGCTGGGATGGCTCTTGGAAGATTGCCAAAAGCACAGGTCCTAAATAAATGAAGTAGATGCCAGACTGTGATGGCGGACTATGGAGGAAGGGGTCAAAAGGCACATTGATATGAGCATGTGAGAATGAGTCTCCTACGTAAAACAGGGACGTGTTAGGAGAGCTTGCAGGCACAGCATTGCAAGGTGATCGGTGTGCTGGTGAACACCAGCATGTTAGAGGGTCTCAGTAGTGGCTGTACTTTGTAGGCCAGGGTAGAAAGTAGGAGATGTCATTGGAAAGCTGGTTCTCTAGCAGCAATAAAGATAACGGGGCGTCCCAGAACACAACCATCAGAAGCAAGGTGGGAATTATATTATGGACGGCAGTATTGGAATGACAGCCAGAAGGCCGTGACTTGCAGGCTCTGTAAACACAATCAACTGGATATGGTGTTTCAAAGGTAAGATGTATGGGCAGGTGTCAAGGGTGTGCTTAATGTCTGTTATCCAGTGGAGTAAAGAATGGTTAACCAGGTCGGGCGCAGTGGCTCACGCCTGTAATCCCAGCACTTTGCAAGGCCGAGGTGGGTGGATCAGGAGTTCAAGACTGGCCGGGATAGTGAAACCCCGTCTCTACAAAAAATACGAAAATTAGCCTGGCGTGGTGTTGCGCACCTGTAATCCCAGCACTTTGCAAGGCCGAGGTGGGTGGATCACAAGATCGGGAGTTCAAGAGCAGCCTGGCCAACATAGTGAAACCCCATCTCTACAAAAAATACAAAAATTAGCCTGGTGTGGTGGTGTGCACCTGTAATCTCAGCTACTCAGGAGGCTGAGGCAGGGAATCACTTGAACATGGGCGGTGGAGGTTGCAGTGAGCCGAGGTCATGCCACTGCACTCCAGCCTGGGTGACAGAGTGAGACTCTATCTCAAAAAAAAAAAAAAGAGAACAGTTAGGAAGAAAGCATAGGTCAGCTGATCCAATAAACAGTGAAAATCCTTTGCCTGGGTTTCATCCTGAGCTTTTTTTTTAGTCAGAACCCATCAAGTGAAGAAGCTGGGTCCCCATGAGGAGGACTCAGACATACCCTGGCATGGGCAGTTTGGTAATTCCCCAAGTCCTTCCCCAAAGGGCCCTACAAGCCAATTCCTTGGATAATTTGTGCACTGACAAAAGAGAAATGTACAGCTTTTCTGAGCACTGTTGGATTCTTGAAGACCCAAAGTAACACCCGGTCTCCTCTGTTACAGTAGGACATACAAGAATCAGATAGTAAATGGAGTCCTCACCAAAGTCTGTAGCACAGTGGGTCCTGTGCATTCACAGACCCAATGAGTGGTCATATTTTTTCAGTCCCAAATGTATAATCACAATCACTATTCTTAGGTGTTGACAGAATCTTCACATATTAGTCCCTATGAACTATAGGTTTCCTTTTTTTTTGTAATCTTAAGCTATCTTCTGCTGAAAGGACCTACGAATCATAGAGTGAGAGGTATTATAGTAGAAAAGGCCAAGTAAAAGTCCCTCCCAGGCCAGTAAAATAAAATACCACATATTGAGGGAATGGGAGGTATTAGTGCTATCCTCAAATATTTAAAGGATCCTCAAATATTTAAAGGTAGCAGTCCGGTTACATTGCTGTGTAATTTACTAGTCTGGCTACAGCAAAAACGGAATGGATCATGGTGATAATAATGTACTACCATTATTTAACAAAGTACTAGCCTCAAACACAAGAGCTTGTGTCAGATGCAGGATCTTTATTAGAAAAGACGAACACAGCCGCTGTTCATTTTATGTTATGTGGCTATTGATCTGGCATAGGCGTTCTCAATTCCTATCAGGAAGCAGCATCAGAAGCAGTTTGCGTTTCAGTGAGCCAGACAAATACATTCATGATCTGGCTAAAGGGCTATTGTTTTTTTCTTTGGATGTCACTATGACTGTGACAGTGCTTTTTGAGTAGTGTTAGAACAGACATAACTTTTTTCATTCTCTTAGTTTCAACCTTTCTGAGCCATTATGATAGTATCTCTTGTAAATGGCAAATAACTGGATTTTAAAAATCGAATCTATGAATCATTGTCTTTTATATAGAAAGTTCAATTCATATGTATTTTGATTTCATTCTACTTTATTTTGCTGTTTCTATGTATTTTTCATGGTTTTTTCTCCTAATTCTGGAAATTTCTCAGATATTATCATTTCAAGTATTACCTCCATCCCATTTCCATTTTTACCTCCTTCAACTCTTTTTAAATACTTTGAGGATATTTAGTTCTTTTTCCAAGTTTCAGTCTTTCTTTTACATTTTTATTCGTTTATATCTTTATTTTAGGTTATGGGTAATTATTTCAGATCTTTCTTCAGTTCCCTAAATCTTTCCTTAGCTGCATCCAAGCTGCTGTTTTTTTTTTTTCTTTCTTTCGATTTTTAAGATTAATGACTACAGTTTTCATTTTTCAAAGCTCTATTTGGTTCTCTCAAATTTGGTTTTCTTTTTGTCTGTTTAGAAATCTTGTTTTTTCATTACATTTTCTATTCCTTTTACAATTTTAATAATTTTGAGAATATTTAAATTTAAATATTCAGTTACAAATACCCACAATTTTACAAATTAATTTTGTTTCCTTGGGTGCCTGTTTTCCCATCTGTTGCGTCTGCTGAGCTGCTCTCCTGAGGTTCTTTTGTTTGTATGGCCTGTACATTTTCACTGTGAGCTCGTCTTTGGATTCTTTGCTTGCATGAGACCATTTATACTCTGGGTTGTAGAAGTCTTTCTGGAGAGGTTTCACATTTCCTTTTGCCAATGTCCTAGAGTTTCATGGTTCTTAAACCAATATTATGTCTATTCTTTTGATTTTGGAGTCCTAAAGTACTTGGGTAGTGTATGTTTGAGAAATGCATGGTGTAGAATCGGATTTTGACTTTTTACAGTTTTTTTTTTTTTTTTTTAAACTACCAAGAGGCTATGGT